AAAGAATTATTTTATTTAACTTTATTTATTTATTATTATTTTTAAAAATTTGACCAGAGAGAGAGAGAGGGACAGCAGAAAGCAAGCCACCAAGTCCAGGACCTGAACCGCGGTCGACCATATGGGAGTCCAGCACCTCTAACAACCATGCCACCTCCTGGACCTGGACCTCTCTTAATACACAGGCCTAACCTCAAATAGACTTTCCAAAAGTCTATCCTTGGGTGTAAACCACTTCTTGTGATAAGTGAATTACTCCCAGAAGCCAGCAACCGGGGGCGGGGGTGGCACAGAGGCAAGAAAAGGCCTAGGACCCCCGGCACGTTGCCACCCCAGGTTGTACCTACAATGAACAGTTCGCACAGCCCATCCGAGATGCCATACAAACCATCCAGAGCCACTGGACCTACCTGGTTGCTTCTGCCGAGGTTTTGGCAAGTTTGTGACACAGGTGTGGGGGCACATCAGGACATTGCAGGGGTGAAGAGAGCCCTCCAGGAAGAGCTGCTTTGTTTCCGACAAATGGATCCCACCAAGAGGGGTTTTAGGGAGGGTATTTGCCGGCACCAAGGCCAGGCAATAAACTCCAACTTGATGTATACTGTCAATTGCCTAGAAAAGGCAATAAAGAGGACATCATATTATAACAGCCATACACACAAACATTCAGCAAATATTGATGTTATGCAAAAGATTGAGCCCATTATGCAGAACTAAGTGAAGGACTAACAGTGTTCCTGGTGTAAAGATGCCAAGGTAGAGAAGGGCTTTTCTTTTTCTTTCTTTTTTTCTTTTTTGCTATAGAGTGTGTGCACTCGCCAGAAGGACAGAGAGAGACAGAAAGCGAGTGAGAAATTACCCCCTAAGGGGATGGTCATGCCACAATCCCCTCTTCTCCATTCTCCTCTCGGAATCTTGGGCATTCATGCACACGTGCCTGGCGTGAGTTTAAGCCACCGGGTCTGGGACTCGAACCATGGTTGACTACATGGAGTCCAGTGACATGGCCATTACGCTAACTGCTGGTCCCGAGAAGGGCTTTTCTGACTCACCTCACCAAGCTGAAGAATTTACACAGGGCACGTCGAAGCCCATCGACAGTAAAAAAGGAAACATGGAAAAGAAAATACATTCTCGAGATCTCAGGACAAAACTTATTTTTGACCTCCTCAGTACAACTGGTAGGAACCAGCTTTGCCAATTCCTGTTCTCTAACCTCAGTCTACTTAGTTTCCTGGATTCTTGCTGTAATTTCTTATCAAATGGAGCACAGGGAAAAAGAAGCACCAAAAGGGGCAAAGCCATGGTTGGTGAGGTTGAGGCTACAATCTTAATAAGTACGAGAAGCTGAAAGTGGGAGAAAGAAAAGCCCAATGGCAAGTGACCTGGAGCACCCTGCTCATCCACTGGAAGCTGTCCTCCTCTGTGGAGTCTGGCCTCTGCTCAGCCACAATCACTATCCTTTCATCATGAAGGACGGTCACTGAGAACACAGCAATCCTGTGGGGACAGAGGGACATGCAGTGAGCCCACGCAGGAGATGCTCTCAAAAAGATTCCAACAAGGCCCTGGAATCTGATAGAAAGTGGACAAATATGGAAGATCTATTGCTGAGTGAAGCAAGTCAGGCTATGAAAGAGAGACATTGTATGTCTCCACTTAACATATACTGACTGTCTGCACTCTATGGTAGAGACCGAAAGGCTGGAGAACATAAAAGTATTAAAAATTGTAATGGACACCAGAGACAAAGTGGAAAGAGCGTGGGAGGGGAAAAGCATA